AAGAGAACTGGACATCGCTGAGGTCACTGGGCAGCTTGCTACCCCTCCTCTGCCAGGCTTGGCTCCATGGTCATGACCTCCCTGGGATTCTAGCACAGTGGAGAAGACTATGGGACTGGGGCCAGTAGCCATGCCGCTCTCTGCTGCCCCATTCCCATGCTGAACACACCCAGCCCAGTCCCAGTCCCAGACCCAGCTCAGTGCTGAGAAAACAGAAGGCAATATGGAAAACCCAATGGGCATTGGCTGTTCCCATGGCACCAAAATCAGCACCAGATCTTAGAAGATGTCATGAATTCTCCAAGCCTCTATGGAGTATCTACTGTGTTCGAGGCACTGAGCACCCAGCAGGGTATAAGATAGAACCTACCCCTGTCCGCATGGAGCCTCCAGTATATCAAGGCAGGCTGACACTGAACCAGCCCGTGGGAGGAGTTCTCAGTGCTCCCATGAAGAGGGCAGAAGGCCAGGAGAGGCTCTACTAGGGACACCTAACCCAGTGTGGAGCATCAGAGACAGCTTCCTACAGAAAGTGATGTTCTGGCTGAAGTCAGGAAGATGGGCAGAAGTTAGTATGGCAGATGAGGCCAGAGACAAAGACAAAGGCTCACCACCCACCCTGCTTCCCCCGTCCTTCCTACCTCACAGGGACCCATGGAGAGGTTCCTTGTGGGGCATCCCAGGCTGTCATCCTGCTCCTGCTAAGACACTCCCAGTGAAGGAAGTACACTGGGGTCCACTTAGGTCCAGCTGCAGTTGGCAGAACCTTCTTCCCTATGTTACTGTGAAATCTGGGTCACGGTGGAGAATGGAAAGAATGTAGGACTTTGAGTCAGACAGATGGGATTTAGATCCTATCTTAGCCACTTGCAAGCATATGAGATCATTCAAAAATGTTACATTAACCTCTCTAAGCTTTTGTTTCCTCATCAAATAGTGTCTCTCTCATAGAGCTGTTGAGAGGATTAAATTAAAGAGTGAGTGTACAGGTCCTAACTCAGAACTCAACAAACATCAGACATTTTTCTTAGCCACTGGGTCTCTCTCTCTCTCTCTCTCTCTCTCTCTCTCTCTCTCTCTCTCTGAAAAGTATAGCATTTATTCAACACTCAAATGTGTAGAACAACCCTGCATATTTTTGAAGCTTCTCTAAATCCCAGCATTCCTAGTTCACTGGACTATTCCCCATATCACATGGTTTCTAAGCCCTTTACCATCCAGTTGCATATAGGAAGTGAAGGAAGAAGCTGTCAAAGCCACTTAGCACAGAGCTCAGGATAATTATGTCCCTAAATGTCAGCTGCATGAGGGCAGGGCTTGTCTGTCTTGTTCACTGCTCTATGCCCAGCACCAGCACAAATGACCAGCATACACTACACACTCAGTATACACTTGCAGAGAGAATGACTAAAGTCTGGGCATGATGCGTCCATTAATGCAGCCTCAATGTTCTTCATTTTTCAAGAGTGTGCCATGTTCTTGACTCATCAGACTGGCAACAAAAACTCCAGGACTTCAACATGAGCCGCTGTTGCCTCGAGCCTCCCTCATCCTGTCCTCAGTCAGTTAGTTTTTTAACTTAAGGCAAAACTTTGATTTGTCCCTCCTATCTCTTATTTTATTAGTTTCAGTCCATTGTTCTGGCCTGCCCAGACCTTTTTTGAATATTCACTCTGTCATCCAACATATTAGCTCCCTCATCTATCCTTGTTCCATCTATCAATTTGTTAAGCATGCCTGCTATGTCACCATGTATCTGAAGATAAAATGTCAAAAAGGACAGGCACACTGTATGGTTCTTTAGGGAAATGGACAAGCCTCCTGTGACCCAGCACTGAGGATTTCCTGGCTGACATCGGTTTATTAACCAACACATCTTGGACGTCATTGTTCAACCACCGAGGAAGCCACCATTCAGCCCATATCTTTATTTTGTCCACAATGACACTGTGAGAGGCACTGTCAAATCCATGGCCCAAATAAAACCTTGCTATATAATAACTATACTGTATGGGGAGTCTACCATGTGCCAAGCCTACTGCATGCTATCTCACTTACCCTTCACAACAATACCAGAAGGCAGCTGTTGTGCAGGGAAGGCAAGCTGGCCTGCCTGACTCTTCCCCTGCTGGCCAGGCCATCTGGGAGAGTGTATATTAGAGTAGATTATCTGCTACAATGAAAATCTCAGTGGCTTAACACTATAGAGATTTATTTTTTGCTCAAGTCACGAATTCATGATGCTCTTTCACGGGCTGGTTTGGGGACCCAAGCTTCTGACATCTAGTGGTTTCTTCTTGGAGACTTTTGCTGAGTCTTCTCCATTCAGCCAATCAAAGCACAAAGAGAGGGTGGAGAAGTCCAAGGCAGGTGCAGTGCTGACATATCACTGTGCCCACATTCTATTGGATAAAACTAGTCACACGACCAATTGCAATGTGCAGGAGGCTGGGAAATGTAGAGAAGTGTGTTGCAGGTGGCAAATACTCTGTCCCATTCACACATCTATGACATGATAATATTCCCTGCCTCATAATTTCTGTATTAGTCAGGGTTCTCCAGAGACACAGAACCAATAGGAGAGAAATAGATATATAGATACATAGATAATAAATATGTAGATATACATAGAGGGAGATACTTTAAGAAATTGCTAACATGATTGTGGTGGCTGGAAAGTCTGAAATCTTCAGGGTAGGCTGCAGGCTGGAAATTCTGGCAGGAGCTGATATCACAGATTTGAGTGTAAGAGCAGTTTGAAGGCAGAATCCCTTCCTCTTTGGGCACCTCCATCTTTTCTTTTAAGTCTTTCAACTGATTTGATAAGGCCCACCCATATTATGAAGGGTAATCGGCTTTACTCACCATCTACAGAGTTAAATGCACTCTCACCTAAGCAATACCATCACAGTGACATCTAGACTGGGGTTTGACAAGAACAACTGAGCACCATAGCCTAGCCAAGTTGATACATAAAATTAACCACCATAATGTCATTGTGAGGATTAAATGAGCTATGCTGAAAACGTGCACATCACTTCAATTTGACCAGTTCCTGACACATCTGTATATACACTGAGTGGCCAGATTATTATGACCACCTGATGTTTATAGGCAAATTAGCTATAATTTTACACGGAAGTTGCTAGAGGGCCAGACCATTATAAACGTCTGAATAGCACAACATACCTAAGTATCGCTGCTGATCAAGTTCATCCTATCATGTTGATGGCGTATCCCAATGGAGATGGCTTCTTCCAACAAGACAATGGGCCATGCCATGGTGCTGGTATTGTGCAGGAGTGGTTTCAAGAACATGAGGGAGACTTTACCTTGCTTAGGTGGCCCCCACAATCACCAGATCTCAATCCAATTGAGCATTGGTGGGACGAAGTTAAAAGAGCCATCAGGCAGCATTGGTGGGACGAAGTTAAAAGAGCCACCATCAAACCTCACAGAACTGGACAGTGCTATTCATCAGGCATGGTGTCAGATTCCTCGTATCACCTTTCAACATCTCGTGGAGTCAAAGCCAAGTAGAATCGCCACAGTATTGAAGGCAAAAGGTGGCCCAACGAAGTACTGATGGGGTGGTCATAATAATCTGGCCGGTCATAATAATCTGGTCACTCAGTGTATATAAAGCCAGCTACCATAACGCCATAACAACTGGAACAACCAGAGACCAGAACACCACGGCCCCTCGCCCAGGCTGGCCCGCCCCCTAGGGATTGATTAGGGGTGCCCCTAGGCAATGCGATAGGGTGTGAGTTTGATGGGGGAAAGTCAAATAGGGGGGAGGTCTTAAAGGTCTGTGGGGTAGGAGAGGTCTGCCAGGAGTAGGTTTGGAGTGTGCTGGGGAAGGAAGAGGAAGATCCGATTGGAAAACGGCTCAGCACAGTACCTTTCTCATTGCGAACCAGGACAGCGCCAGCAGTGGACTGAATGGGCGGTTGTTTCATGAGTGCGCTTGGGACCGACATGTTCATGGCAGCGGCAATACTCCCAAAACTTCACTGATTCCAAAGAGTAAACAGCTATCAACGTCAAAACAGAAAAATCCTCTCCAACTAGAGGCCCTGGACGTAGCAACGCCACTGAAGGAAATGCCACTTAAGGAGAAGCTAGAAAAACCGGAAGTATGCGACCAGAGGATTGTGGGATTGTGGAGGATGCCTGGGCGCCTGCCGCTAGTTACAGTGATGGCAAACCTATGACACGTGAACTCATTTTTTTGGTTGATTTTTCTTTGTTAAATGGCATTTAAATATATAAAATAAATATCAAAAATATAAGTCTTTGTTTTACTATGGTTGCAAATATCAAAAAAATTCTATATGTGACACGGCACCAGAGTTAAGTTAGGGTTTTTCAAAATGCTGACACGCCTAATGTGAGCCTGTTATTGTGCATGTGCACAGTCAGTCCTATAGTCCTCAGTCTCGCAGTATTTGGACGTGACTTCTGGCGGGAAATTATTTCGATTGAGGTTTGCTGTTTCCTTGCGGTAAGGAAGATCAGAATTAAAGGTTTTGTTTGTTAACTTGCTTTAAAGCGAAGGAAAATGGGATAGTGATGAATATGAAACTTTGGAGATAGTGAAGGGCAGTTTGTCCAGTGGCTCTCAACCTTCTGGCCCTTTAAATGCAGTTCCTCATGTTGTGACCCAACCATAAAATTATTTTCGTTGCTACTTCATAACTGTAATGTTGCTACTGTTATAAATCATAATGTAAATATCTGATATGCAGGATGGTCTTAGGCGACCCCTGTGAAAGGGTCGTTCGACCGCCAAAGGGGTCACGACCCACCGGTTGCAAACCGCTGGTCCAGACTGTTGAGAGTTCAGAATAAGAGTTTAATTGGGATAGAAATCCTGCTATAGCACCTGATGCCTGAAATCTGAGCACTCTACTTTTAGGTTTTCCAGTTCAAGTTTTTGGAGGCTGCCTATTAAAACATTCCTGGTTGGGGAGCACTTCCGGCACCAGATGGTCACCATGAAGTTCAACCCCTTCGTGACCTTGGACTGCAGCAAAAACTGCAAATGCCTCTTCAATGCCCCTTTGCACATGTGCCACAAGATCATGTTTTCCCCGCTCTCCAAGGAGCTGCAGCAGAAGTACAATATCTGCTTCATGCCCATCCGCAAGGACAATGAGGTCCAGGTGGTTCGAAGACACTACAACAAAGGTCAGCAAATCAGCAAGGTAGTACAGATGTACAGAAAGAAACATGTCATCTACATCGAGTGGGTGCAGCATGAGAAGACTAACAGCACAACTGTCCACATGGGCATTCACCCCAGCAAGGTGGTTACCACCAGGCTAAAACTGGACAAAGATCAGAAAAAAATTATTGGATGCAAAGCCAAATCGCGACAAGTTGGAAAAGAGAAAGGCAAATATAAGGAAGAACTTATTGAGAAAATACAGGAATAAATGTAACCTGTTGTACAACCACGGTTTAGCTGTAGGTTTTTAGCCTGTATTGTATTCCTTTAAAATTGTTCAAGATGTCTCTGGAATATTTTGTTTACTTCCTGGTTTGTTATTGATATGTGGCTCTGTATATCTATTGTTGCTGTTTGAATTAGTTTTATGAATAAAAGATGGAAATGTTTCTTAATTAAAAAAAAATAAAATAAAACATTCCTGGTTGGAAAGTGTTTGTATAGAAGCCCATAAGTATTAAGTATTTGCTGTGTTTACCATGCTTAGCTCTCTGTAAGGAATATGGAATAATGTTAAATGCCTCATGTTCTCAAGAAGCTTGAATTTTAAAATAAAAATAAAGAAGAAATATAAATATTAAAAATTTAAAAAAAGAAGCTTGAGTTTCAGGGGCGAAGTCAAGCAGGCAGGCGAGCAGTTAGGGATGATCAAGCAGGCAGGCAGAGTGGTTAGGAGCCAAAGGTCCTGGATTGTGAGAGGGTGCAGGCTGG